GGGGAAAAAAATCCCCCAAAACTCCCCCAAATGTGGGGATGGAGCTCTGTACTTTGCAGGTTGTGGATTAACTGGGGTAATTTGGGGAGTGTGGGGAGACTTGGGAGTGAGAGGCCAGCTCCAATGGCTCCACCGGGAATGCTTCTGCCAAGGGATGGTTTATCAGGTATTCAATGGGTAAAACCCATCTTGCAAAGGGTGTAACATCCCCTAAACCCACCAGCAAATAAGGAGCCTGGTGGCTCTCTGGCTGTGTCAGCCCAAAGGTGGTGCTGGAGAAGATCCCAGAGTGGTTCAAAGGACATTGGGCACAGCCGAGGGAAGGATCTGGTTTGATAAAGCAACAACCACCAACCCAAACTCCCTCTCTGAGACCCGTTGGAGGTTGCCCAGCCCTCAGCCACAGCTGCTGGTCCCAAGAGTGGTTTTGTGGTGGCCCTTGGTCACCAGCACACGAGTTTTCTGTGCTCGTGGTGGGCAGGAGTGGCCAGTGGGATCCTCAGCCCCAGCAGAGCCGTCCCATGCTGCCTGTGCTCTTCAGCTGGTTGAAAAACCAGGAAAATAACCTCAGATTGATAAAATGATTTGCTGGAGGCTGCCCAGAAGCTGCTGGCAGACCCAGGACTCATTTTCAGGTCCCACATCCTCCACCTCGTGGACTCCTCCACCGTTCCTGCCTCTCCTTGCACTCCCGCTGTTGGTGTTTTTCCACCGTGACCAGCGTGGAGGAAAACATTTGGAAGTCCATCCCTCTGTCCCGATCCCTCCAAGGAGCTCCAATCCCACTTAAAGTTTTCCACAGCTGAACTCTCTCTTTCCTGAACCTCCCTAATCACTTCTTCATCCAGTTCCATCTTGAATAAATTAACTGCAAGTGAATTCGCCTCGCAGGAGATTAAGTGTCCCACTGATTGAAAAGTCCTGTGAACAGCAGAGTGGCTCCTGCGTTCCTCCCTAAGCCCCACATTCCCGACTCTCCAGACATACCTTCCTCTCCTGAGCTCTTTTCGTTTAATCAAAATACCTTAAGGCTCAAAACGAGCTTTAATCAAAATACCTGAAGGCTCAAAATGAGCTTTGCAACCTCTCCACGACACACCCGGGGAGTGAGCGCTGCCAGGGGGGTCATTCCCTTTGGAAATTAGGAATTTGCTGGATGCAAAAAGGCTGTGTGGTCCCTGGAGGACCTTGAGTGAGGGGCTGAGCTACATCCAGGTGAAGACGCTGGTGAATACAGGGGAAAGTGCTGGAAAATTTGGCTTCTCCATCAGGATGCCTTCAAATGCTGCCTTCAAATCAGGGATGGATGTTTTCCCAGGAGATATGATCCAGCCAAAGCTCATTTGTTGGGTTCAGTACCAAGGTAAGTGAAGTGAAATAATGTCTGTGACACAGGGAATTCCACCAGGAAATGTTTTGACCAAGAGGAAGAAAATACCCCAATAATTCACCAGGCCTGAATATCTGTGATTTTAATCTGTGCACGTGTAACAAAACCATTTAAAACGGTGTAAAAATATGCAAATTGAGCTTGGTACATCATTTTTGTCCAGAGAAGCTGTGGCTGCCCCATCCCTGGAAGTGTCCAAGGCCAGGTTGGACGGGGCTTGGAGCAACCTGGGCTGGTGGAAGGTGTCCCTGTTCATGGCAGGGAGTGGGACTGGACGAGCTTGAAGGTCCCTTCCAACACAAACCATTCCAGGATTTCCTGATTCCCTGTTTGCTGTGAGCCTGCAGCAATGGACACAGCCATCCCACCCCATTCCCAGCCCAGCCAGGACATCGGGAAGCAGGACCCAGCACAAAGCACTTGAGCTCCTCTGGTATTTCCACCAGCAGCCTGGTTTTCCTCTTTTTATTTTTTCACCCTGGATGAAAGTTAAAAATATGTGCTCAGACATGTTGCTCTGAGCAGTCTGTGCTTTTCCCACTTAATCCCTCTTCTTATTTTTTCCCTTTTGTTTTCTCCACGAGCAGGGCATGAAAAGGAAGGCGAGGGAGGGCTTGTTTGGTTCTGATTTTCTTTTAAAGCCTCTTTTCCGAGCCAAGCCGTGCCGCAAGGGCTCCCTGCAGAGCCAGGAGGGCTCTTTGCAACAGCCCAGGGAGCACCAGGGGGAGATTTGGGATCACCCGAGGGGGTGAGGGGTGTGTGGGGAGGGGGAAAGCTGGGATGGAGCGAGGAATGGCTCCCTGCTGCAGCAGGGTTTGGGTGATTGGGTGTTTGGGGTTATTTGGATGATTTGGGTGATTTGAGTATTTTGAGTGATTTGGGTGATCTGGGTTGTTTGAGTATTTGGGGTTATTTGGGTGAATTGGGATTATTTGAGTGATCTGGATTATCTGGGTGATTTGGGATATTTGGGTGATCTGTGTTATTTGGATGATTTGGGTGATTTGAGTATTTTGGGTGATTTGGGTTATTTGATTATTTGACTATTTTGGGTTATTTGGGTGATTTATCTGGGTTATTTGGGTGATTTATCTGGGTTATTTGGGTGGTTTGGGTGATGAGGGTTATTTGAGTATTTTGGATTATTTGGGTGATTTGGGGTTATTTGGGTGAACTGGGTTTTTTTGGGTGATTTATTTGGGTGATCTGAGTTATTTGGGTGAACTGGGTGATTTGGGTGATTTGGATCATTTGAGTGATCTGGATTATCTGGTTGATCCAGGTGATTTGGGATGTTTGGGTGATCTGGGTTATTTGAGTGCTTTGTGTGATCTGGGTTATTTGAGTATTTTGGGTTATTTGGGTGATCTGGGTGATTTGGGATATTGGGGTGATCTGGGTTATTTGAGTGATCTGGGTCATTCGAGTATTTTGGGTTATTTGGGTGACTTGGGATGGGGGGTTTATTTCTTTTTGAGGAAAAACCCCACATTTAAAGCACAGGGTCGCAAACCCCCAAGTAAAGGAAGAGGCTGGGAGCTGGTGAGTGGAGCAGCATCCCTGCAGCAGCACCTTCCAAACAGCTGGAAAAGCCTTTTCCCAAGCTGCCAAGTTTCCATGAGGATTTGACAGCTTCAGCTAATGAATCATTCCAGTTGAACCAAAAAGGGAAACAATGCCATTGTCTTCGGGAGACAAGAATTCCGGTTTCGTGAGCTCCACAGCCCCTCTGCCTTCATGGCACAGCCTGGAAATATTTGGGTTTCCTTTGAGCTCCCAGCCCTGGCAGAGCTGGAGACTCGGGGAGTGGGTGGGTTGTCCTCAGCATCATCTCATGTTTGAAGGGATGCTTCGACCTGGTGCTCAGGAATGTTTGTTATTGGGTGGTGTGAGGACATTAATCTGTGAATATTAATTAATGGGAAAGCCTCTGAGAGGATTTCCTGCAGCTTTCCTTCCAGAAGTTCAAGTTAAATCCCATTTATGTTAGATTCTTCAGGAATGAAGAATTCCACAATGAGAACGTCACTCTCTGAGGTGTCTCAACCTTTATCCCTTTGCATCTTCAAGGTCTTTTTCTCTCCCCCTCCCACACCCTTCCACATCTTCCAACCTTCCCCCTCCTCTCTGGCCACCAGCAAATGGACACTGATGGTGGGACAGAGGCTGAGGGACACAAGCAAACTCCTGGTGCAGCTCAGGGAGAAGGTCCCAGACTCCCCTGAGCTTCTGGATGCTGACAGCTCCAGATGGATATTGCTTTCCTGCAATTAATCCCCTCGTTAACACCAGGGCTGTAAGACAGGAAGTATTTCCATGAGAATCTGTGGATTTTGGAGCTTTTCCTTTGGTGAGCAATTCCCTTTCATAGTGATGGAATAAAAGAATGAGTGTTTAGTGTCTTTGTAGAAGCGACATTGAACAACAAAAAAAAATATGACCATTTCTGGTCTAACAGGGAACATCTGTGCTGGGCCAGTGGCTTTGCCAGCTGCTGGGAAGGGCTGTGTGGAACAAAAGAGGTCCTGTTTTATCTGGAGATCCAGACTCGGACAGTTGAATCCACAGATAGGATTTTGAAAGCAAAAAAAAAAAAAAGAAAAAAAAAGCAGATTTATTTTGGGCCGACACATTGGGAGCAGAAGATTCCAATAACTCGTGGTTCTGGGTATTTTTGAACCGGCCTGGAAGGAATGGGCAAATTCCTCAGGTCCTGCTCCCTTCCTCCTTTGGTTTGCTGGTTTTTCTGGTCAAGGCCAGGAGAAGAAAAAGTGAGAAAAATGTTTGTGATGTCCCAGATACATCCTGACTGGAGACCTGTGTCTTTAATGGGTGCTTGGATTTTTATCAGCTCCTCTTATTTTAAAGAGCAGATTAATGCCCAACGTCCTCACTCAACCCTGGAGATCCAAATGCTCGGCTCTGAGCTCTTTGGTTGGAGCAAATTCCCCTTTTTCAGCTTTTTGGTGGGGAAAATTCCTCGTGGGTCCCGGTGTGAGTGGCTGTCAGTGCTCTCCCAGCTCCTCTGGGTTCCCTTAGGCAGGACTTTGCACACATCCGTGTCCTGAAGACACTCTTGGCATGAAGTGGGAGGTGTCCCTGCCCGTGGCAGGGGGTGGGACGAGGTGATCTTTGAGGTCCCTTCCACCCCAAACTATTCCAGGGTTCCATGAAAAGGCTCCTCTGTGACCAGCAGTGAGAAGGGACACTGTGCCCCCTGCCCAGGGCCAGTGCCCACCACGGACACCTCAGGTGGTGCTCAGGGGTTTGGTGCCATCCTGGTGCCGGCCATGAGGTGGTGATGGGGGTCCCTGCTCCTTCCTGTCCTTCCAGGTGGTTTTGGAGGCCTCACTCCCTTCCGGGCATCTGTTCACCCCCATTCCAGTGAGTGGGCATTAATTCCAGGCAGCTGTGAGTCAGAGCTCCAGCTTATTCCTGCCTCTTCCCATGGGAAGGAGAAATGGTGCTTGCACTGAGCCAGGATGGGGGAACCTTGGTGACACCCCCCAAAGCACAAGCAGGGGGGTTTGGGCTGGAATTTGGGCTGGGGAATCCTTCTTCCCAGGGGGTTCTCCCCCCCCTGGGCACTGACAGACCCCTCTTTCCCCAGGCTGGTGGTGGGAGCTCCCTACGAGACCAACGGGCAGCAGAAGACAGGAGATGTCTACAAGTGTCCAGTGACCAGCGACAGCCACAGCAACTGCACCAAACTCAACTTAGGTACAGCCCCAGGGGGTCCTCAATGTGCCCTTATCAGGGGATGATTTTTGGCAGGGCTTTGGACTCGGTCTGTAAAGATAGACCTGGTTGTGTTGCCCTAAAAGCGTGAGGTCTGTGTGGTTTAGGAGGATTTTTAGATAAGGAATTATTTCGGGAGTTCGTGTTATTCCTGGTGCTGAGCTTTAAGGGGTGTTAGGGTAAAACTGAGCAAATTGGAATAGAGTAAAAAATCAGTTGTTTGTTATAGCTTACACTGATCAGGATAAACTTTTCAATGGATAATGGTCCCACAAGTATCTGTATTCCCTCCCCAGGGATGGTTGGACAATGTGCCCGTCTCAGATGGTTCCCTGGGCACAGGCAAGTTTAGTTCCCAGGACCCAGCCTGACCCCGTGGTGTTTTGGGAATTCTCACCCAGCCACACCACCCCTGGGCTCCATCACTGCTGTTGCAGCAGGAGAGGCCCTGGGGGTGCTCCAGTCCCGCTGCCATCCCAATCCCACCTCCCTGGGTGGAGAGAGCGAGACCTTCCTCGGGGCTTCTCGGGCTGGTCCAGCACCAAAGGCACAATATTGGGATTTTGGGACGTGCCCTCCCGGAGTCAGAGCAGACAAATCCCCCTTTTCTGCCCAGTTTGGGACACTCCACAGGCACATCCCTGTATCAGCAGGGAATGTGAGAGCCAGGAACTTTCCCATGGTCCCATGGAGGGTTTGGGGTAAGATCTGGGATTTTTAACACTGGAGCAGCTGGAGCAGCTGCTGCTCTCACTTTATTTTTCATCATTATGAATCTCAACTATCCTGGGTTTCTACCAGATCTGATAAGAGAGGAGGAACTTTGAATCATCTGCAATATTTGATTGATTGGCTCCAGATATTTTTTTGTTTTAACCATTGTTTTCTTTTCTCCTGTTTGTTTTCATTATTTGGGATGACAACACCGAGACTCTTCAAGGAAATAAATCTCTTTTGTGTGTAAATTTGAACCCTGCTAAAAAGCAATCTTTTTTTTTCCACTGGGAAGGAGTTTCAAATGACAAGAGCAGTTCCATGAGCACATCCTATTTTGTCTTATTCCAAATCAATTTGTTTAGTGAGGACAATCCACCAGGGCCCTCTGAGTGGAAGCAGATGGGAGCTGCCCTGGGGGGATGCCAAGCTGGAGAAGCAGGAGGTGATGTGGGAGCAGGGATCTGCCCTTGTCCTCCCTCACTGAGTGGGCAGCAGGAGCAAGAACATCCTGGTGCCCATGGAGAGCTGTGATCCCAAACTGTCACATCCAGTGGGGTGGCTGCACCTACAGCCAGGATCCTGAAGGACTCAGGGCATGGGATGGAGCCCCTTTTTTCCTGGATTTGCTGCAGATCCACGTTCAGTCAAGCTCGGGGTGTGCAGATGGAAACCAGAGCTGCAGCTGGTCCACAGGGACAAACAAGGGGTGGTTGGAATCTGCCTGGCCTCAGGCTGAGCTCCCTCGAGCTCCAGGTCGTGGATCTGGGTTTTGGTTTAAACCTCAGCAGGAGGAAACGGCCTCCAGTTCCACCAGTGAAGGTTTAGGTTGGATATTAGGAAACATTCCTTCAAAGCAGAGGTTTCCCAGCCCTGGCACAGCTGCCCAGGGCAGTAATGGAGTCCCCATCCCTGCAGGGATTTAACAGGATGTGGCCCTTGGGGACAAGGTTCAGTGGTGGCCTGGGCAGTGCTGGGGGAGGGTTGGACTTGAAGGTCTTGAAGATCTTTTCCAACCTGAACAATTTCATGATTCTGAAAGACTTCCAAAGGCCACAAGCAATGAAACCAACCCCCAGTTTTACCATTAATTGCCCGATTTCCTCCTTCTTTTTTCCTTTGGACAAGGGCCTGGAGGAACAGGACAAGGGGGAGTGGCTTCTCACTGCCAGAGGGCAGGGATAGATGGGATATTGGGAAGGAATTCCCTGATGGGAGGGTGGGGAGGTCCTGGCACAGGTTGCCCAGAGAAGCTGTGGCTGCCCCTGGATCCCTGGAAGTGTCCAAGGCCAGGTTGGATGAGGTTTGGAGCAACCTGGGACAGTGGAAGGTGTCCCTGGGGGTGGAACGAGATGGGTTTTAAGGTGATTCCAATCCAAACCATTCCATGTTTCCATGATTCCCAGTTTACTTTTCAGGCAAAGCAGCAAAGGGGCAGCCCTGGATTGGAGGGATCTGCTTGTCCTGGAGCCCTGGGGCAGAGGGATGTCTGGATGAGGCAGCACTTGGGTCACAGCTCAGTAATATTGGAGGAACACAGGGCTGCCCTGGGGCCATACCCAGTTTCTGGGCTGTGAAAGATGGATCAGCCACTAAATGCCTGCTGGCCTGGCACTAAGGGAGGAGACTGAGCCCCTCAGAGGGGTTTCTTCCCAAGCACTCTCTAGAGATCCTGCCTCTGACTCAGCCTCATTCCCTGGAAGACATTTTCTAGGAGGAAAAACCCCAATTCTGTGGTGCCACTGCTCCAAACCAAGCCCAGAGCACAGGGGCTGCAGCGGGGCGGGCACAGCCCTGCTCTGCCCACGGCTCCCTCTGGCTCCAGGGGTGCCAGGGGGCACCACGGGGATGGGATGGGTGCCCCTGGCCGTCCCTGACCGGCTCCTCTCTCCCAAGGCCGGGTGACGCTCTCCAACGTCTCCGAGAGGAAGGACAACATGCGCCTGGGGCTCAGCCTGGCCACCAACCCCAGGGACAGCAGCTTCCTGGTGAGGCACTCGGGGTTTGGGGGTTTGCTGGGGGGGTCTGTGTAGATCAGCGTGGAAAGGCAGGAGGATGCTCCTCTCTGGTTATATATCTATTTTATATATATATATATATATACACATATTTATATAAATTTTTTTATTTAGATATTTATTTTTATGTATATAAACTATAGATATATATAATATTTCTATTTATATATTTATTTATATATATAATATTTCTATTTATATATTTATTTATATATATAATATTTCTATTTATATATTTATTTATATATA